AGCACCAATGTCCTCCTCTACCTCCTCCTCTTCCTTCTTCCTGCCCTGCCCCCCACAGGGGTCATGTGGCGTTGAGATCTGTGCGCCACGTCTACCGCACCCTGACCAGCCATTGTTAACAGCATTTGTTCCAGGACGTGCAACAGAGGAATGACGTCGTTCATCATCCCATAGTCCTGCGACTCACGAATAGCGTGGCCTCCTCAAAGGGCCTGAGCAAGCGGCAGGTGTCACGCATGAGCTGCCAATGGCTGACATCTAAGTTACACAGGGGTGTAGTACCTTTATCCGCTTTGTAACATCAGGAAATCGGTGATGGCCTTTCGCTGTTCGTAAAGGCGGTCTAACATATGTAGGGTTGAATTCCACCTTGTTGCAACGTCACAGCATGAGGAGTCGGTACGGGGGCCCATGGCAGATTACGGGCCTGGCAGCAGCAATGGGAGGCCCGTAATCTGCCAGCACCCTATGACAAAATGGAACCCACCAGCAGTGTGAGGAGACCTGAAAGTGGCACATGGCAGAGTGTGGCGATGGAGACAGCAGCAATGGGAGGCCGTACAGGGACCCATGACACACTCTGGACCTGGCAGCAGCATGAGGAGGCGGTACAGGGGCCCATGACAGAATACGGGCCTGGCAGCAGCATGAGGAGTCGGTACGGGGGCCCATGGCAGATTACGGGCCTGGCAGCAGCAATGGGAGGCCCGTAATCTGCCAGCACCCTATGACAAAATGGTACCCACCAGCAGTGTGAGGAGACCTGAAAGTGGCACATGGCAGAGTGTGGCGATGGAGACAGCAGCAATGGGAGGCCGTACAGGGACCCATGACACACTCTGGACCTGGCAGCAGCATGAGGAGTCGGTACGGGGGCCCATGGCAGATTACGGGCCTGGCAGCAGCAATGGGAGGCCCGTAATCTGCCAGCACCCTATGACAAAATGGTACCCACCAGCAGTGTGAGGAGACCTGAAAGTGGCACATGGCAGAGTGTGGCGATGGAGACAGCAGCAATGGGAGGCCGTACAGGGACCCATGACACACTCTGGACCTGGCAGCAGCATGAGGAGTCGGTACGGGGGGCCCATGGCAGATTACGGGCCTGGCAGCAGCAATGGGAGGCCCGTAATCTGCCAGCACCCTATGACAAAATGGAACCCACCAGCAGTGTGAGGAGACCTGAAAGTGGCACATGGCAGAGTGTGGCGATGGAGACAGCAGCAATGGGAGGCCGTACAGGGACCCATGACACACTCTGGATCTGGCAGCAGCATGAGGAGGCGGTACAGGGGGCCCATGGCAGATTACGGGCCTGGCAGCAGCAATGGGAGGCCCCGTAATCTGCCAGCACCCTATGACAAAATGGAACCCACCAGCATGTGTGAGGAGACCTGAAAGTGGCACATGGTAGAGTGTGGCGATGGAGACAGCAGCAATGGGAGGCCGTACAGGGACCCATGACACACTCTGGACTGGCAGCAGCATGAGGAGGCGGTACAGGGGCCCATGACAGATTACGGGCCTGGCAGCAGCATGAGGAGTCGGTACGGGGGCCCATGGCAGATTACGGGCCTGGCAGCAGCAATGGGAGGCCCGTAATCTGCCAGCACCCTATGACAAAATGGAACCCACCAGCAGTGTGAGGAGACCTGAAAGTGGCACATGGCAGAGTGTGGCGATGGAGACAGCAGCAATGGGAGGCCGTAAGGGACCCATGACACACTCTGGACCTGGCAGCAGCATGAGGAGTCGGTACGGGGGCCCATGGCAGATTATGGGCCTGGCAGCAGCAATGGGAGGCCCGTAATCTGCCAGCACCCTATGACAAAATGGAACCCACCAGCAGTGTGAGGAGACCTGAAAGTGGCACATGGCAGAGTGTGGCGATGGAGACAGCAGCAATGGGAGGCCGTACAGGGACCCATGACACACTCTGGACCTGGCAGCAGCATGAGGAGGCGGTACAGGGGCCCATGACAGATTACGGGCCTGGCAGCAGCATGAGGAGTCGGTACGGGGGCCCATGGCAGATTACGGGCCTGGCAGCAGCAATGGGAGGCCCGTAATCTGCCAGCACCCTATGACAAAATGGAACCCACCAGCAGTGTGAGGAGACCTGAAAGTGGCACATGGCAGAGTGTGGCGATGGAGACAGCAGCAATGGGGAGGCCGTACAGGGACCCATGACACACTCTGGACCTGGCAGCAGCATGAGGAGTCGGTACGGGGCCCATGGCAGATTACGGGCCTGGCAGCAGCAATGGGAGGCCCGTAATCTGCCAGCACCCTATGACAAAATGGAACCCACCAGCAGTGTGAGGAGACCTGAAAGTGGCACATGGCAGAGTGTGGCGATGGAGACAGCAGCAATGGGAGGCCGTACAGGGACCCATGATACACTCTGGACCTGGCAGCAGCATGAGGAGGCGGTACAGGGGGCCCATGACAGATTACGGGCCTGCAGCAGCATGAGGAGTCGGTACGGGGGCCCATGGCAGATTACGGGCCTGGCAGATGACGACGAGGCTGCCAAGTGCGATCAGCCTCATCATCATCAATTAGGGTCTCCGCCTCACTACTAGCCCCCTCGGCTGCGTGTGGGTCAGGAGACAGACCTGTCTCTAGACCGGCTACCGAGCCACTCTCTCCTCGCCAGTACTTCTTCGCCTGGCTGCTGAAGAGGCGGATGTCTCCCCCCGTTCCTGACCGCCCTCTGTTAGCTCTTCCTCACTGTACAGTGGGGCTGAGCCCACAGCATGCGATACTTCGCTTGGTGAGGGAACACCAAAGGACAGGGAAGGTAGAGGACACGTGATTTCAGTGGGCTTGCTCCCGGGCCATGCCAACTAACGGTTGTGTCTGACGTACCCACCGACCGTTGGCTGTAGGTGTCAGAGGTGACCTGGGAAGAGGAAGACGACCGAGCCAACCAATCGATGACGGCAGGGTTGTCGGTGGGAGACACGACCGCTGGATGACACCGGTGAGCACTGGCCTCTGGCTGCGACTAGTGCTGCCTCGACCCCTTCCTCTGCTGCCACGTCTGCTCGCTCCTGAAACATTGCCTCCTCTGCGTGTTGTCTGACATACTCTTTAATTCAACGATTCTGTGTCCCTGAGTAACGATTCTGTGTCCCTGAGTAACAATTCTGTGTCCCTGAGTAACAATTCTGTGTCCCTGAGTAACGATTCTGTGTCCCTGAGTAACAATTCTGTGTCCCTGAGTAACAATTCTGTGTCCCTCAGTAACGATTCTGTGTCCCTGAGTAACGATTCTGTGTCCCTGAGTAACGATTCTGTGTCCCTGTGTAACGATTCTGTGTCCCTCAGTTGTCCCTTCAGTAACGATTCCTGTCCCTGAGTAACGATTCTGTGTCCCTGAGTAACGATTCTGTTGTCCCTGAGTAACGATTCTGTGTCCCTGAGTAACGATTCTGTGTCCCTCAGTAACGATTCTGTGTCCCTCAGTAACGATTCTGTGTCCCTGAGTAACGATTCTGTGTCCCTGAGTAACGATTGTGTCCCTGAGTAACGATCTCTGTGTCCCTGAGTAACGATTCTGTGTCCCTGAGTAACGATTCTGTGTCCCTCAGTAACAATTCTGTGTCCCTGAGTAACAATTCTGTGTCTGTCCCTGAGTAACGAAAATCTGTGTTCCTGAGTAACAATTCTGTGTCCCTGAGTAACGATTCTGTGTCCCTAAGTAACGATTCTGTGGCCCTAAAGTCTCTTTTGCCCTAACTCTGTCCCTAATACAGACAGGTCTGTTTCTCTTGAATGACCGGAGGCTAATGGAGAATTGTAAGATGGCCGCAATTTATAGCTCCACCATTACACAGTGCTGGCTGGCTGGCTGCTGATTGGCTAATGCATCACATGTCATGAATGAATGCATTAATGGGTCAGCGCGCCTTGTCCTGCGCGCCTTCCCAGAGATCCCCGCTCCGTCGCCACACATGTCGCCGCCATTTTTTTAAAAAAAGGAAAAGGTGATTCGATTCGTGCATCCGAAGTTTGCTAATTTTCGGATTCGGCGCGAAATCGAATTTTTCCTGATCTTCGAAACGAATTCCACTTCGCCATGTTCGATTCGCTCATCTCTAATTGTTTAGTGTTAATAAATTATATTGTTTATAACATATCTGAAGTCTGCGTTTTCCCTGCGTCAGTTTCACATTCCTCTGGTCATACCGCGGAGCCCACTGACATTACACCAAGGCCAATCCTGACCAGAGGTGGCTGCACAGGGAAGCCATCTTGGCTTGTTGTTTGGGAAGGATGGATCTTGATGAGGTTGTGTATTTGTGGCTGCTGGTTTTGATGATTAACAGAGAATATGCTTATCAGACTCTGAGAGAGTATACCCCGGGATCAACTGCTAGAATGTATACGGATCGCTCATGTTCTAGTAGATCAGGGCACAGAGTTCTCTGAGGTGCAACCTTTGATTCAGGTTTGTGTAGAGTTGGCTTCATCTGGTACCCCTGAAAGCAGGAATGACTTTTTGCCCCCATTTAGTGCAGACCAGGTAGAGTCCCTGGTATGGTTATTAGAGGATGATGTGGATTGCTTCTTGGAGCATTATGCTGCATTGTTCATCACAGGTATTAAGGGATTGTATAAACGCAGTGCAGTCTTTTGACCAGACAGGCTTTGTGCAAGCTTTGTTCAACCCATACTGCAGACATGTCAGAACTTGTTGCACCCAGCCTCAGTCAGCTTGCAACGTCATTCCTCCGTTCAAGGCACTCTTCCTACATCCCCGACAGCACCCCCCAGTGACGGCCCCGTATACTCTAACTACCACATACCAGTCCTCTGCTCCCACTCGCTGCACCTATCCATTTCTTAACCCTGTAAAGAAGTCCTCTGTAGCAACTGCTCCCTCCTCTGTTCCATCTTCCAGCTCTTCTCTGTCCCCTCAGCTGCTCCATTCGTTTGCAGACCTGCATTTACTTGCAGTGCCCAGTAGTTAAAACCAGAAAAAAGCGAAAATTCTTTCCAACCAATACCATTCCTGCCAGTATCCAAACCGGTGAGCCTGCCGTCTGAGAACCTGCCTTCCGTGGTTCAGCCTGGTGCCTCAGCACCCCGCACTTCAGCCTGATGTCTCCTACCCAGCCTGATGTCTGTACCCAGCCTGATGAACTGATCCGGCCTGATGATCCTATCACGCCTGATGACCCGATGCCCGCTGTCGAGCCAGACAATCCAACGCCAGATGACCCGGTGCCGCTGTCGATCCAGACGATCCGGTACCTGATGACCCGGTGCCCGCTGTCATGCCTGGTGACCCGATGCCCCGCTGTCGAGCCAGACGATCCAATGCCTGATGGCCCAGTTGCCTGCTGTCGTGCCTGGTGGCCCGGGTGCCCGCTGTCGAGCCAGACGATCCGGTACCTGATGACCTGGTGCCCCGCTGTCATACCTGTGTGACCCGATGCCCGCTGTCGAGCCAGACGATCCAATGCCTGATGACCCAGTGCCCCGCTGTCATGCCTGGTGACCCGATGCCCGCTGTCGAGCCAGACGATCCAGCGCCAGATGACCCGGTGCCCACTGTCGAGCCAAAATGACCTGATGCCTGGTGACCCGATGCCCGCTGTCGAGCCAGACGATCCAATGCCTGATGACCCAGTGCCCGCTGTCATGCCTGGTGACACGATGCCCCTGTCGAGCCAGACGATCCAGCGCCAGATGACCCGGTGCCCACTGTCGAGCCAAATGACCTGATGCCTGGTGACCCGATGCCCGCTGTCGAGCCAGACGATCCAATGTCTGACCCAGTGCCCCGGTCATGCCAGTTGACTCGGAGCCCACTGTCGTGCCTGGTGACTCGGTGCCCACTGCCTTGCCAGATGACGCGGTGCCCGCTGTCGAGCCAAATGAGACCTGATGCCTGGTGACCCGATGCCCGCTGTCGAGCCAGACGATCCAATGCCTGATGACCCAGTGCCCGCTGTCATGCCTGGTGACCCGATTGCCCGCTGTCGAGCCAGACGATCCAACGCCAGATGACCCAGTGCCCGCTGTCGATCCAGACGATCCGGTACCTGATGACCCGGTGCCCCGCTGTCATGCCTGGTGACCCAATGCCCGCTGTCGAGCCAGACAATCCAATGCCTGATGACCCGTGCCCCGCTGTCGATCCAGACGATCCGGTACCTGATGACCCAGTACCTGCTGTCATGCCTGGTGACCCGATGCCCGCCTGTCGAGCCAAATGACCCTGATGCCGGGTGACCCAGTGCCCGCTATCATACCTGGTGACCCCGATGGCCCCGCTGTCGAGCCAGACAATCCAATGTCCAGATAACCCAGTGCCCGCCTGTCATGCCTGGTGACCCGATGCCCGCTGTCGAGCCAGACGATCCAATGCCTGATGACCCCAGTGCCCGCTGTCCATGCCTGGTGACCCGATGCCCGCTGTCGAGCCAGACGATCCAGCGCTAGATGGACCCGGTGCCTGCTGTCGAGCCAGACGATCCGGGTACCTGATGACCCGGTGCCCGCTGTCGTGCCAATTGAAACTCAGAGCCCACTGTCGTGCCTGGTGACTCGGTGCCCACTGCCAGTCGCCAGATGACGCGGTGCCCACTGTCGTAGCCAAATGACCTGATGCCTGGTGACCCGGTGCCCGCGCCGCTCCGCCTGGGGGCCCGGTGCCCCCCGCCGCCCCTCCTAGGGTCCGGCGCCCGCCGCTCTCCACCTGGGGCCTGCTGCCTGTCGCTATCCGCCTGGGGGCCCGGTGCCTGTCGCTCCGCCTGGGGGCCCTATGCCCGTCGCTCCAACTGGGGGCCCGGCGCCCGCCACTCCACCTGGGGGCCCGGTGCCTTGAGGGGGGGGGTACTGTCAGGAATGGACTTGCCAATAATGGTGGGACTCACCTGCCTGTGGGCTGCAGTACCAGGGCTGGCCAGCGGGTGCTCTCAGCAATCAGAGACTCAACCCTGCAGTCAGCCAAAACACCTGAGGCTGATTGCAAGTGTATTTAAGGGATGGCCAAACCTGCAGTCTGTGCCTTGGTGTGTTTTTTTTCCATGGGCCCCTGTATCTTGTTACCTGTGTTCCTGTCTGACTGATTTGTTGCCGACCCCACCTGATCCGGACCTCTGCTGACTTACCTGCCCGATTGTTATTGACCTGGCCTGCCTGACTCGCTTGCATTGTATGTATTGTTATTTGTGGGTGGTTTGGTTCGTTTGCACTGTGTTATGTTTTCGTATTGCATTTATGTATTGTTAGTATTAATAAATTATATTGTTTATAACATATCTGAAGCCTGCGTTTCCCTGCGTCAGTTCACATACCTCTGGTCATACCCGGAGCCCTGACACACACACACACACACACACATATATACACACAACCCCAATTCCAAAAAAAGAATGATTGGCAAATCTAAAAAAAACATGTTTTATTCACAATAGAAAATCGAAAACATGCATATATGAAAACACATCAGATTTTAATGGGGAAAAATCTCCTGCTGGATATCTATACTGATAATATGGACTGGGTAATGTGTTGGGAACATAATGATGCCCCATCGTTTCATGGAAATGAAAATCAACAACCTACAGAGGACTGAATTCAAAGACACCTCAAATATCAAAGTGAAAAAATTATGCCACAGGCTAGTCCATTTTGCTGAAATTTCATTGCAGCAACTCAAAATGGTACTCAGTAGTTTGTATGGCCCCATGTTTGTATGCATGTCTGACAACGTCAGGGCATGCTGCTAATGAACTGACGGATGGTGTCCTGGGGCATTTCCTCCCAGATCTGGAACAGGGCATCACTGAGTTCCTGGACAGTGTGAGGTGTAACCTGGCAGCGTCAGATGGACCGAAACATGATATCCCAGAGGTGGGATTTAGGTCAGGTGAGCAAGGGGGGCATTCATCGGTATCAATTCCTTCATCCTCCAAGAACTGCCTGCATACTATCAACACATGAGGCCGGGCATTGTGGTGCACCAAGAGGAACCCAGGACCCACTGCACCAGCATAGGCTCTGATGATGGGTCCAAGGATTTCATCCTGAGTGTTTGGAGGAGGAGTAAACCCAGGTGTGCTGATGTGAGGACCGGCCAGGAAAGGAAAATAAAGTACCGTATTTTTCGCCGTATAAGACGCACTTTTTCTTCCCCAAAACTGGGGGGGAAATGTCAGTGCGTCTTATAAGGCGAATATGGAGCGGCCGGTCCGGTATTTCCACCGCGGCCGTGTCAGAATACCGGGCCGGCCGCTCAGCTCTGCAGCGGGACCTTACCTGTTCCTCTATCCAGCGGCGCGCTGTCTTCCCGGCTTCTGTAGTGTGGGCGCTGTGCATGACAGCCGGGTGCCAAGTGCGCATGCGCAAGAAGCGGTGCTTTTTGTGAATGGTAAGGCGGTACCTGGGACACATGACAGATCCCAGAAGCCGCCGGACCAATCACAAAGTGCAAGTGCTTCTCGCTCATGCGCACTGGGCACCCGGCTGTCATGCCGAGCGCCATTACAGAAGCCGGAAGACAGCGCACGGCTGGATAGAGGAACAGGTAAGATCAAAGAACAACTCTGCGAAAGTAAGAGCGGGTACCTGTCAAATTCAGATACCCGCTCCCCACCTCCCCACCTCCCCAAAGGTCAGCAGTCATCTGTACTGTCCGCAGTCTCTGGTCATCCCTGTGCTGTCCGCAGTCTCTGGTCATCCCTGTGCTGTCCGCAGTCTCTGGTCATCCCTGTGCTGTCCGCAGTCTCTGGTCATCTCCTGTACTGTGTCTGCAGTCCATTAGTTCAGAATTTTTTTTTTCCTGTTTTCTGCCTCTAAAACCAAGTGTGTCTTATGGTCAGGTGCGTCTTATACGGCGAAAAATACGGTATCGGTGACAATTTTCCGTTATATTGTATATATCTATCTAAACACACACACTATATACACAGTGCATACACATATAAACACACAGTATTTAAGATACCCATACTAACTGTAATCAACCACTTGATACATGTATGTGATTGGGTTCAAGTGGTTTTATCAGGGTTACGGTTGCAGCTGTATGCTGTAACCCTATTTTATTTTTTAACCGGCAATGCCTTTTCATCTAAAAGCAATCCTAGTGGCTAATTAGCCACTGGATTGCTTCTCCAAGCTTTCCCGTGCAACTGGACAGCCCAGTATCTGATCCAGCAGTGCTGCCATATTATCTGGCCAGGGATCGCAAAGTTCCTGGCCTTCTCTATGGTCTGGGAAAACGGAAGCGACATCATGATGTTACTTCCAGTTCAATTGCATTTGAAAACCATTGTGCAAATACTGTGTGACATAAAATATTGCAATAACCACCATTTTATTCTCTAGGGCCTCTGCTAAAAAATATATATAATGATAATTTTACTTGTAAACAAAAAGTGTCAGAATAGGCCTGGTCTTCAAGTGGTTCAAGCTCCTGTAAGAAAAAAAAATAGTTAAAAATTTTTGTCAATATGAGCCCCCTGATAAATTTTGTGATTAAAGCAGCGACCTCAAATGAAGTGTTTTCCTGGTTCAAGGTGAATGATGGGATGACAATAGAAATTGTAGGAAGGGGAGGTAAGTATGCAAACTCGATTGAAAAAGAGAAATGGACAGTACATGCAGTACCTACACCGAGTGACGTGGTAGAGAACAGTTCAGGTTGGAAGGGTATTGGTTCTGCCTATTTTTCTGAAAAGCTAAATATCGTCTTAATAATGAGATCGTTCAGCCTGAAGAGATTAGGCTTGTCATCTTTGCTAGCTATTTTTACTGGTGAAAGAAAGCATTTATCAAAGGAGATCATCGGAGGTTCGGCATTTCTACTTAACAGCAAGGACAAATTGTACATATAGCATTGAAATTCTTTTTAACTATTTCTCTGCCAGACACATACCCATTCAGCTTGCTAAATAAAATACTCCTAGCAGAAGGCTGAAAAGAATAGATCCTTACTGCAAAAATGGAAAAAGATTAATTTAATTCTTGGAGAGAGATCAGCTGGCAGTAAAGATCCCACATCAGTTTCATCTTAGTTGCCATTTAGACCACTCTTTTTTTTTTTTTTTTTTTTTTTTTCTTTACAGAATATGGGTTGCAGAGCCTAGCCATTGATTTTTTTATTGGAATAAAATAAAATTGGAATAAAATATTGTGGGGAATATTCCAGATGATAGTGTTTTATGTTAATATATATTCACAGCAGATTGCAATATCCCTGCAGGAAAAAACAGTACTTTGAAATTATTATTATGAGTTATAAAGTTAGAAAAACTAAGTTGATTTTGGACTATTTATGAATGTACCATTTTCACTGCTTTAGAGGGAAATTTCCACAATGGTACAGCGATGGCAAAAAAAATAACCTAGGAGTGGTTTTAACTCTTCCCTACTCTATCCAAAACTCATCGGTCATTTTATTAGGTGCACCTTGCTAGCACCGGGTTGGAACCCCTTTTGTCTTCAGAAGTGCCTTAACTGCATAGATTTAACAAGGTGTTGGAAACATTCCTCAGAGATTCTGGTCCATATTGACATAAGTTACTGTTGCCTTT